GAAGGCAGTCGAAGTGGATGAGACTTGAGCAACGTGGTATACAATACGAGCACGGCCGGGGCCTGCCGTCAGTCTTCCCCAGAGGTCGACGCTAGGTTGCGAGCCTCACTGAGGGACCGAATCGACTGCACCCAGCTGAACTGCTATTGATTAGTATTGAGTCTAGAACCAACTCCCCTCCCCATAACCAGTCTCCTTCGCTTTTCCGCAATTCTCCCAAAAAGGTCAGGCTTGCACCTTTTTCGCATCCACGTCTGCACCTGTTTGCCTGTGATCTGGATGACCTTGTCGGCGGTGTTCCGGTTTTCCTTTTTGAAGAAGGAGAAGACGTTGGTGATTTTTGGAAGTGTCACCGTCAACGTTGTTTCGAGTAGTTTTTTCGACTGGTGGGAATTCGTGACGACCATCACGTACGTATTCACCAAGAGCATCACCAAGCCCCATACACATGAAGCATCGGGGTACCGCTGCTGCTGAGACAGTGTCATCTCGAAAGTAGAAACAAAAGCAGAAGCCGCCCGCCACGCTCTGATATGATAAGACTCGAAGCCAAGCGCAAGAAGCTGGGTTGTAGCCGAGCTTGGCTGCTCTCTCCACGCAGCAATGTATTTGAGATCGCTGCTTACGTTTTGCTTACTTGTATAGACGTGGAGACGTACTCACAATCTAGCTAAAAACAAACCCAGACTCGTCCGTCACGTCATGGCTAGAGGATGGGGATCGTTCAAGATGCTCTGTCTTGTTTTGTCGTGCTTTGTCTTGTTTACGTGCAAAGAGTGCTTACTTTCTTGCTCTTCATAGCTGCTGTCTCTCGTTGGCTCGTGCAACGTCTTGTACAGCTCTGATCAGTGACCGACTTTAGATCTCTCGCCCTTCGTCGTGCTTCAACATGCACGCACTGCGCTTCTGTTGGCAGTCATTTCTGGTTACATTTACAACAGAAAAAAGCAAAGCTTATATCCTGGCTCTTCGCTGAGAGACTAGAAAAGCCAAGAGAACTGCGTCTCCGTTTCGCTTCAAGCTGTCGCTATATTTCA